GGGGGAAGCCGGCGGCGGGGCTCTCCGGGTGTCCCCCAAGCCGCAGCACTTCTGCGCGGGCCCGGGGGAGCAGGCAGCGGGGATCTCCTGCCTCCCCCGAGCTGCAGCGTTCTGCGCGGGCCCAGGGAAGCCAGCGGTGGGGCTCTCCGGCCTCCCCCGAGCCTCAGTGCTTCTGTGTGGGCCTGGGGGAGCCAGTGACAGGGCTCTACGGGCCTCCCCCGAGCTGCAGCGCTTTCAGCGTGGGGAGCTAGGGGCGGGGCTTGCCGCCCCCACCATTTGCGCGGGCTTCTGGGGTGCGGGAGCAGTGCTCCAGCCGCAAAAGACCCCTGGATCTGATAGCTAAAGGAAATTAGAAGGCTGTAAATGCATGGGATTGTACTGTTAACCTAGCAAAAGGTGTTCTAATTTGTACTTTTTTGTTTTTAAAGATAACGATCTCTGTATGAAACAGACATGGTAAAACTTGAATTCAAAATGAAAAGTGTTTTAAAATTGACAGCTTAATTGAAAGAAATGTATACATGGAAATATGACTTTATCATTACACCCACAGTAGTTTAAAGCCTTGGAGAAATGAAGTAACAAATGCTTGGTTTGTCTGTTCAGCATTCTGTTGGCAAACAAACTGATCGATTTTACAAATACAACACCTTTATTTAGGGTCAATATATGAAATTAAAATCTATACATAGGCTAAAATATAGGAACATCTCTCCCTTATTATAATTGAGTAGTGGGTGCCAAAGTTCTAAAATGCGCCCCGTTAGTGTATGGCCGGAAGAATTGCCACTCAGAAGACGACTGGCTCCCTCAGCGAAACTGGGCTGCCATTGGCTGGGTGGCTGGGAGGGGAGGGACGAGGGCTCACTCGCCTTGGAGCGCCTGGATGGGACAGACGCTCCGCTGTTCGGGGATCACAGCCCGATAGGGCCGGCACTGCCGTCCTCACCCCACCACTGAACCACTGAGGTAAACCTGCCTTCCCCGTCGAAGCCCGGCGACCGGAGCCTGTAGCCTCCGCTCGCCCAGCTGGCTCCCCCCCGCCCACTCCAAGACGCTCTAAGCTGCTCCCCCCGCGCCCACTCTAAATGGCCCTGAGGCGGCAGCAGCAACGAGCTGCTCGCTGCTGCCCGATTTCCCTCCTGCATCAGCCCACCCCACGCATCCACCCACCTACTTCAGAGCACCCCATTTCCCCCCCACACCCCCCTGTTGCAGGCCGCCCGCTCGCCGCACCTCCATTTCCCTCCCCCACTCTAGGCCCCCCGCGCCCAGTAGAAGGCCGGCAACGGCAGCTGTGGCTGACGATCGAACGCCTCTCCCTCCCTCCCTCTCTTCCCCCTCCCCCCCACCTCCAAGCGGCCTGTTCGTTGGAGCACTTGAAGTGCCCCTCAGCGGCTCCTTCCTGCCGCTGCCACCACAGCCCCGATTTCCGTCCGCCCCACCCAACGAGCCAGGCCTTTGGGGGAGCCCAGGGAGGGGCACGCCAGGGGCAGCTAAGACA